AGTTCCTCTTCCATCACAAATGGACAGGCTGACACCAGGTATTATCCTTTTGAAGAGACCCTGACACACATTGTCCAGGATCTAAGGATCAAGCCTGAGTGGGATGATGTGCCACTGGCTTCATTGGCCATTGAGACCATGACAAGTCAGGCACCTACCAAGCCGACCAAGCCAAACACTCCAGGTATCACTGCTGATCCCAAAGCCCAAGAGTACGATGCTTTGGAACTGAGCGAGTACAAGGCAAAGTCATCTCATCTATGACAAGTCGACTCGATCCTATAGAACTTCTCAAGACAGTGCAACCACCATCACAGGTGACATACTGTACCGACGCCATGAAGTCCAAGCTTAGAGGTCTAGGAGACTACGAGATGCAGTCAAGCTGGATCCCATTGAGTGCTCAAGAGGATCAGATTGATAGTGATGCAAGGCTCAACCAAGAGTTCCCATTGCTACATACATCAAGACCATCCAACGTGGCTGTGTTCCCAAAGCAAGGCGACCATGACAGAGTTGAATTCTACTTGAGAAAGGTCGACAGCGACGTGATCAAGTGTATGACCTGGTCTGGAAAACGGAGCTCATTGATGCCAGGACTATCGGTTGGCTGAATACAAGGCCGCACCAGGATCACGACGCCCAAGAAAGATACTAGTGACGGAAAGGCTAGGTTGAAAGCAACCAGGGCTACCATGGCTACAAGAGGAAGATATGGAGATACCAGAAGACCGTTGAGGCAGACCTATGCCATGAACGTACCATCCAGTTCCCCGATACCCTTGATCATCTAGAGAGACGCTGTCCAATGACAGATTCAAGCCCAGCAAGGATGGTTGGACCAACGGAAGGCCAAGGACCGGAAGCCATATTCCAATCCCAAGCCACCTCCTTTTGATCCCAAGAAGATGAAGGAAGGGCTCCCAGCTGCTGTCTTCTATCAGCAGTCCCAGCCAGGGCAGCCTGCTACTGTTGTGGAAGCCCGGATCACAAACTTCCGCAGTGCAAGGTGAAGTCGAAGATTCCCAAGCCTGAATGGGCCATCAAAAAGTTCAATGGCATGAAGAAGTCTTCATGCCACAGTACACCAACACCAGATGCAGCTCTCCAAGGAGTGCCACCACAGTGGTGACGGCGCCAGCTCCAGCTCCAGCTCGAGACTCTTCGAGCAGGAGTGTGATTCAGTGGAGTCCCTTCACCTCCTACGAGCCAGTCGAACTTTCAACAGTTTCCCATGTCAAGCCAAGCCCCCAGGCCAGCGCGCAGGGTCACTGCAGTTCCACTTTCAGCACCATCAAGTCGATAGAGTCCCGCCCTTGATGGGCAGAGATGACTCAAACACCGACAGTGAGCCGGAAGCTCCATTGACTGGGGAGCATTCGCTACCGATTTCCTTGGAGGCATCCCACTTTATGCAGAGAGTGGAGGCATGATGAGACATCATCCGAAGAAAGCTATCACTCGGCTACGGCCATGATCAGCTTGCTGAGGGAGTCCTGACGGTTGTAAGCATTGGATCCGACCTTATCCTCCAGCGGACAATGATACACATAATATAATTGTCAGTGTTCTGCCCACCCTGACACCGTCTTCAACACAGATCCATTCTGAAGGAGTTATCCCTCGGATGGCCAAGACGATATCAGAGCTGCTGTTCCGACTACAGCTCGGATACAGAGAATGAATTTCGTTGCGTGTACCGTGGACCCAGCCGGCCTCAACGGGAGAATCAGCGAGGCAACTGTTATGAGATTCCAAGACCAGACTCACTCTCAGTCGAAAAACAGAACCATCAAGTTGTGTTTGAGTTCCCAGGAGTGGCAGATGCCGAACTCACAGGAGTGGCAGAGCCAAATCTGCAGGAGTGTCGGTCAAATAACCTCATTCCTGATGGAGCCAACACAGTGTTATCTCGACAGTGGCATTCCATCCGAACTGTCATGAACCAGGACAAGATTGTCCGCAAGCGCTATCTCCCAGAACCAATCGAAATGGCCACCAATGTTGGAAGCACCAAGCTTACCCAAGAAGGGGACACACTTACGCAATGGTTATTCCAATCCAGGAGGCATCGCCAATATCAACGCTTGTCTCTTGTTGTGGATGACTGCGTCAGGGCAGGATGGATCCTATGTCCTCATGGACTAAGAGTCGACGACGCCATTACCACTACCCCCAACTGGATCCATACCAGTATGAAGGACCGCCAAAGTCTTTATGGAGTTGTTGATTGAGCAATGACCTGCTGGATCACATTGCCCAACTCAACCAGTTTTCACCGGAGATTCCAGCACTGTTGGTCCAGACGGTGGAAGCAACCTCGAAGGCTTTCCAAGAAGCAAGCCAAGGGTGCATTTCTCGACAGAAATCTGAACCACAACCTCCAGCGCCCTCTTGTGAGGGATACCGCACATGATCGGACTGGTCAAAATCGCGATGTCCCGTCAAACTGGAGGACATGATCGCGCTGAATTAATTTTCGGGAGCGATCATGGCAAGGCCAAGGGCCTATACTACACGCAGACGCCCACCACCAGTGACCGACAGTATTCCTACTGTACCGGGATGAGCTGTGCACCACACAGGGTTCCTTGACGCCGATGCATGGATGTGTTTTATGTCTGTGAGATGGCCTTTCTGGCATTCACTTACTTGCAAATCCGACACCGCGAATCAGCCTACCTGCCAACAGAAAACGAAAATCATTCTATTCCGCAATTGACAAGATTTATGATCGGTACGGAAATAATGAATTTCAAGATCCAAGAAATCCAGTGCGACCTGGAGTTCAAGAGCCTGATGGATCCTGTGCAAGAATGACATGGAGCTCAAGCTCAACATGGTAGCGGTCAACTCACAGTGGCCCGCCGAGCGGAACATCGCACCTTGAAGGAGCGCATCCGCAGCAGCCTGGCATCCACCCCGTTCATGGTGATCCAAAGGTGATGATTGTGGAATTGGTGTACGATGTTAATTGTAAACTCACCTCTTCTCCCGCGCTTGAGGAATCTCTAAAAGTGTATCTCCCAGGTCATGATCCTGGAGGGTCGGACCACAAGCTACAAAAATATTAGTACACTTTGGGAGCTATTGTCTCGCTTCCAACGAACCAGACAAGCTCAATTCTATGGAGCCCCGGCGATTGGATTGCATTTATCTCCGTCCAATTGAATGGACAACCACCAAGGTGGACACAGCGTGATGGACCTCGTCACCTTTGAGGTGATCACGTGACAGAATGTCCGCATCCTGCCAATGCCTCGCTCAGTCACTGATGCTGTCGAAAAGCATACGGTGAGGTAAGAAACCACTAAATTCTTTCACAACGTGACTTGTATATATAATATTACTCTCTCTGGTGGAGCAACTCGATTCTTCAGAAATCTCCTCTCTTCATACCGGTCCCTTCATGCTCTGGGTGGCACTGATGAAGGCACGGCACAATAGTTGATCCTCAAAATCATCAAAATTCGACACGCTTGCGCTTGGACTTGCTCGTCATCAGCGACTAGTCTTCTTGACTTTCTTGAGTATTGTTGGTGCGGCTCTTGCGCTTTGCCGCCTTGCTCTGCACGCTGCCTCTTCCGCCTGCCTTTGCCGCTTTTGCCGCCTTTGCCGCCTTTGCCGGAACGGAGGTCTTCTGCCGGGTGTGCAGCCTGGTGGTACCTTGTCTTCTGCCGAGGAGATCTCCTCAATGTTCACTGTTTTTATCCAGCTTCTGGTTTAGGTCTACAGTGGCGTTATGTCCTCATCATCTCTCAGAGTCTTCTCTTGTTTCTTCCTCTTCTTTTTCAGCGATCTCCTCTTCCTCTTCTTCCTCGCCACAAGGATCCTCGGCCTCTTCACTAGCCTTCTTCTTTGGTGTTGGCCATGGTCAGTGAATAACAATAAAGAACAAGAGCAAGAGGCTAGCTAGCGAAATGAACAAGAGGCTAGCTAGCGAAATGGGAGCGAAATGGCTGCAGCGAAATCCAAAAGGAAAACGTTGGTTAGTCGAACGTTTAGTCGATCGTGGTAGATAACGTTTTTCTTAAATTTTTGACTAAAATATCGACTAAACTGGATAGTTCGAGATTTAGTCCGTGGAGGAAAGACACCTCCTTGACTAAAGGTTACGGACTAAATCTGCGACTAAACAAGGTGCTAAAGTACTCCTTTAGTCCCTACTTTAGTCGCTTGGGTAGAGAGCGGCCTTATGACGGTATGCAGCCTGTACCAATAATATGCGCATACCGAACTCAGCTGTACTCACAGGCATCTACCGGTTCAAAAGGGGCACACATACAGTACTGTATCTATTCGTATTCGTGCATGCAATGACCCAGTAAAGACCATTTCACTTAAGGAGGTACACCGACCTTTGATTCACGAGTAGGATTAGCATGTACTGATAACCCAATTCAACACGGTGGCTTCGAGCCAAATATTTCATTTTGCAAAATGACGCAAAAGCTGTATTGGACTGGCCAATGATGGCATCTAGCCTGCCGCTACCGACATTTTATTGGGTTGTATACGTCAAGTAGTCATTAGGCTTGGCACCAGCGGCGGTGGCAACATGGGAGATGTCAAAATGGTTGATATCGATTGGATGAAGTCAGGGAGTTCTCGATTTTTCATGACACCACGATGGGCAAGTCTATTATCCTCCACACAAAACCTCCGTTGTTGCCATTACCACCGGCGTGTAGAGCGTACTTCACTTCCCCAGGCGGCATACTCGCATTGTCATTGGACGTCATTGGGATAAGATCTTAGAGGTGGAAGAAGGTCAGGTCCATTGCCGGTGCAACAACGACAATCAACTGCTCCGGGGAAGTTTATCGGCTGCGAAACAAGCCAGTCTGGCGTCCAAAAGTTTCTCTCCGACGGAATCTTGCAAATATGGCGCCCTTCTGTTTCTGTGGCGGGAGATGGGCAATGCCAGTGCGCAGCTCGAATTACTCCTCTCATTATCTTGCCATAAGCTACTCAGAACTTTGGACAAGTCAGGTATCACCATGAAGCTCCGCAGTCCGTCGCAAGCCATTACTGTAACCCACTTCGGTGGAACGTCAGTTGATTTCCTCGCTGATCACATTGTCAACAAAGTGGATTATCCATCTATCCGTGTTTGGAATCCATTGACAAAGTACCCCTCTCCAACCGTGGGTGCATCTCTACGGGCTACCGTCCTCTCAATCAAGAGAGAGACTAAGATCTGCTTTGGGAACAAAACTGTTTTGAAGCTGGTACTTTTTGATGGTAGCAACAACTGTTTCAAAGCTGTTACTGACACTTTGCTTTCTGAAACTCTACCTGATGTTCAGAAAGGATGCGTCCTTTCTATCCCAGAGTATAGTTGGATCAAGCTCAATTCTGATTCCTCTTTCAAATTCATTCGCATCATGATGATTTCTTCTTTCGAGGCTGAGACTGCTCCCACCTGTGAACCCATGCCTGTTCTGCTTCTCGACGATCCAGACGAAAACAGAATTGGTAGGTCTGCACAGGCAATGTTGGCCAACACTACATCTTTCCATCCAGACGTTGTCAAGAGGTGCCACAGTACCGGGCAGGTGGTATTCACCTGTGCTGAGTGTCTTTACGATCCTAAGACCAATGCCGGTTTTGTCTATTGTGCTCCTGCCAAGAGGTGGCAGTTAGCTGGAGCTGCACCCGTTGCGACCAGGTTCCTCAAACCAGACTTCAAGAAGCTTTTCACTACTGGTTTGTCCGACAGTGATGATGACTCCACTGTCATGTACTGCGAATGTCAATCCAAGTTCAACTATACCTGCTGTGGAAGGTTCACTTTTTCTATTACGATGATGGACACTGACCTTCTCTTTGACAAGATGATTGCGAAAGTTCCGGTTGACAAGAGGGTTGCTACTTGTTGGGATGAACTCGACGCTCCCAAAAAGAGGTGGTGTGTCTATCATTGGATTGCTCCCAACCTTTACGACCTTACTGAACGCACCGAGCTCCCTAGCTGCATTGTCAAGTATGTTCGAGAGAAGATTCCCAACGATAACGAGCAGCAAAGCTACACTGGGTATGTTCCAAGGTTCACTCATCAGTCTATTCTGTCTCCCCTCAAGGCGGAAGCTGATGTGGCTGAAGATACTATTGGTGACGACGACTATGGAGAACCGACTACCGAAGAGTTCGAAGCTTACGCCAAAGAAATGGAGGAAGAGGCTTTTTCCAAGGGAGAACGTGACTACTGGAGTGTTGCCTTGGAGATTGCTGCCACCTATGATGAACAGAACAATGCCGAAGGTTCCGCCGACAAGAAACCCGAAGGTTCGGCCAACAAGAAAGAATCCAAGTAAGAATGGAAAAGTGGTAAGAAGCGAGGTGTAAAGGCCTCTGTAGCTTCGATAGTATTGAGATAGTATTGAAACAAGTAAGAAAAGAATTATCTGTCAACCAGCTGTTACTCCTCTTCTTCATTGCTGTTAGTTTCCCGCAAAATGTTGTCGACGACCGAAGAGTAATCTTCCGTGTTGTCCGTATCGAGTGGAATAGTGTCCAGTAAGCTTTGCTGTGTCCTTTCTCTTTCGTTGTCTGTCATTGTTTCTAGGGCTGTCAACGATGGGTGTACATGTGTCAGTTTCTTGTTCATGGGGCATAGTTTGCTGCTACGCCTTTTGTGGCCCCAGTTCCCACATGTTCCACAGTAGTTGTCCTCTTTACATCCTACTGGTCTATTGGAACTTGGCGGTGACACTTTGCTGCTGGAGCTTCCGTTCTTCCTCTTTTTTTTGGGCGGTTCAGTGGTATCTTTTCCTTCCTCCAGTGCAGAACAAGTCTCATAGAACATGTTCTTCTCCCGATCTGCTTTCAGCTGTGCATGATACGCAAGGATTTTCTCATAGACTCTCTTGTTCCTCTGCCTTCTGTACGATGCAGTCTTCTTTGCCGCATTACGCTTGTTCCTTGCCTCATCCACAAGGTTCAGGTAGTTGATTGTTGTTGAATCCAAATCTAAGCCAAGTTCTTCGAAAACTTGAACAAAGAATGCTTTCGGTCCCATAATATTGATGCCAATAGCCATCAATACACGGACACGTAAAGAAAGAGTGCCACTGTAGTGTTTGTTCTTCGGTGCTAGCCAAGAGATAGTGCTGTTCAAAGATTCGTTGACTTGTGTGTCGCCACCATGCACCACCTCCTCGAGCCTCTTCATTCTTGTATACTTCTTCATAATGACACGTAGAGCCTCGAACAGCTTTGGTTCTTTCTCTATGGACCGGTACTGTTTATCAGAGTTGTCTTTTTCTTCGTTAGACTCTTTCTTTCTTGTGCAGAATGTGTCACAACAGTATCTGTGATCATCGAAATGGTGGTATAATGGTGCTTGACTACGTTCTTTCCATTTCTCTTTAGGAACTGTAGCCAGCTGTGCAATCATTGATCTAAAGTTGACAACCAATCGCAGGGTGTCACCTTCGCACATGCCGTGGTTGTGCTTCTTCCTTCTCCCAGCTAAGTTGTACAGATCATTCCTCAGGCCTTTCTTTCGATGGGCAGGATCAGCAATGAAAGTCGGTTCAGGAATATCCCCATGAAGTAGACCACCAGTTCTTCGCACTTCCTTCCAAGTAGGACACTTATGAGGTGGAGGTGTCTTATTCTCTTGTTTGTACGGGAAGCAGGTCTTGCATGGCTTCTCAATATGTTGATCCGGCTTCTTCTTGAATTGCAGAACCAATCCAACAAGTGGTACCTCTGTGAGACCCTTGTTCTTCAAGTAGTCTTCGTTGGACCATTTGGTGTTCGCTCGCATACTAGAGTCATCGTCTGTAATGATCTTTTCCACGTGCAACTGATACAATTCATGTAGGAAGGTTAGCATATGCAGCAATGCAGAAGCTTCCATTGATCCAGAGGAACCTTGATGATTGATGTGGCATTCATGATCAACCGGGGCGGCTGTTCCTTTTGCCTCGTGCCTCTTGCAAGTCGAACAGAAGGTACTTTTCAAACACCAAGCTATGGGTTTGCGTGTCTTCTGACCTATCAAGCAAGCATGACCACTCGATGAATCATGCTTCCTACCACTTCCCCTTTTCTGCCAACCCATATCCATTGATACCACCAACTCGACAGAGAACACAGGCGATTCGTTGGGAATAGTCTTCCCCGAAAGGACATCAGATTTCCATTCTTCGAAATTGAAGCTTCCATCGTTGATCTGGTCATGCATCAACATTCTAACTTCGTGGAACAGGTTGTTCTGCATTGCCTCCTCTGATACCTTTTTGATTGTTGGGTAAAGCGAATCCACAATCTCCTTGAATGTATGTGTTTGCATGGAAATAGAACATGGCAAACTCATGAGACCAAGTAGCCGTGAAGCTTCTGTACCACCGTCACCACCAGCAATATGAGCCATGACAAATCGAACATTCGTTTGAAATTTGAAATTGGAGGGATTTCCGCGTTTTACTTCGATGTTGGTCTGGCTGCACTCTCCCTCCACTGCCCTTCCATTGCACTTAGGGCTGTTACAAACAATCCGAGGCCTGGCTGCCAAACACTTTGTCTTGAACGAAAATTCAATAAAGCCCGACCTTCCACAGAAAGCACAAGCCAAATTCTCCTCGATGAAACGACATAGACTCTCTGTTTCAACAATATTGCGAGTGGGAGTATTGTTGGTACTGACAGGAATGGCAGGCAATTTCTCTGAAGTAGATTGGGGTTCCTGGATGTGAACAGTGCGTGTCACCTCCAAGGAGGGCTTTTGTGAAGGTGCACCACGGTTGAGACACTTCGATACATCCCACGAGATCTGATCTTGAATCACTTTGGGCTTCTTTCTGTCATATCGATTCATCCCAGCTTGAAGCCTCAGACTCTCATGTCTTGCCTTCTCTTGTTGATTCTCATCGAGGCATCCCAGCAACTGGTCGAGTGTTGGTGGGGATCCCTTGCTTCGTGTATTCCTCACTGCAAGAACGGGCGTTACCAGAGGTAGCCCTTCATTGCCGCTTTCGTTCCTTCCGTCATCGGAGCTCATATCAAAAAATAGGCTACATGATACATACAGTACAGATGCCGACGAAAGGAAGATACAGATAGGAACCAAAGGAAGAAACAACTATCTATTACGTGATGTTGACAGTCCACATCTGCTTCCTGTCAACATCGATTGGTCTGGACACAACCACGTTTACGATGTACTCTTTCTGACCTTCAGAGTATCGACTGACTCTTTGTATCTGATTGGCTAATCCAGGGCGTTGGCTGGTGTGGCAGGCTGCTTTTTGATACGAGAATCCTGTGTGTCTGAAGTGTTAGATTCCCCATTCCACATGATGTGCATTCGAGGTCCGAGCTCTCTAAAACTATCGACCGAGGTGCCTCTGGAGCCATCACGTCTGTCCGCCCATCGGAAGGTGGGTGTACCTCCTTAAACGATTGGACTTTCTGTTGAATGTGGAGTGTGGAGTTTAGAGACCACTTTAAACTTGAAGGGAAATACTGAAGTATCTCATTTCAGTACAGTATGGTAGAGACAGTTGATCCCTCTCATAATTATTACGACACCACCTGAACATCAGCTAAAAAGCAGAACAGTCTATTTATCTATTTATACTCCTACGAGCAGTACTTATTTGCTGCTCGTACTTATGACAGACTCCGAGAACTCTGAAGAGTGACGAGTCTGAAGGCATCGGCGGATCTCTGGCACGGTGGTACAGCCAAACATTACAAGCTAGCTACTATTACATGTAGCAGCAGTAGTACGGTACCGGTACTCTATGCATTCTTCATTCTATTCACGCAATTGGATCATTCGCTTCAGGTCGTTTTCAACCTCGCTGGTATCAATCAAGCTTTTGTCTCTCTTTCTGCATGCCCACCGGCCATGCAGCTGCATGGCATCGTAATGCAACTTTCAACACTCTCACAAAATGAAAAACCAAGCGAACAGCTAGCTAGCCTCAGCAGTGCCAACCATGAAGGTCTTCTACAAGTATCGCGCAACAGTCCTCTTTCCATTGGCCATTACTGCTGTGTTGGCCCTGTCTTGCCATCCTGGGGCCACTGCCTTGGACATTGTTGCTCTCCATCCCACCACCAATTATACCATGTCAGTGTCGGAAACAACGAAGAACCAGGTGTTGAAGGTATTGTCAACGACCTCAATGAAGAGTACACAGCAGCATGCCTACACGAGCACTGCCGCCAAGAGGAAACCAAAGACAACAAGGAAAGATGATGGTGATCACAAGATCTCATCGTCAAAGGCTACGGGGCTCTTCTACCTGGCCGGGTTCTTTGGGTTCCTATTGTTCATTACCGCATAACTTCATAATCTAGATCCTTACATACTGTACTTTACATGAACTTGACTGTTGTACCGTAGTCGACTAGACTTTGTGGGGACACGCAGGCTACCGTACATTTTGCCACCGTACGCATTTGCCAAATGCACCGTACATACATACATGTTGCGTCTTCTAGCTAGCTACTAGCTACTTTAGTTTTGATGATCTCCTTCATCGCGGCGCCCCACTAGAGTCTTCGTCCACATCATGTGTTTCGGTAGTACTCATCGGTTGCGTTGTAAATTATTCACTGCATGGCCTCAACTTTTTGAAACAACCAACCAGCCACGGTCGCCACAAGGCCACTTCCATTATGTATTACTGGAGTAACCATATTTTGGTGGATGCCTGACCATGGAGCAAAGCAGTGCCGCAGCTAGAATAATTGAGGAGTGGGAGAAAGCAGCTTGCATCCAACCGTTGTCCCAGCAAAACAAACTGGACTTACTCTCCTGACCATAGATTCAACCCTCCTTGCTGGCTCAAAAGAGGCTCTCCGAAGGCTCATGGCGAGTCACGAGTCGCAGTGCGGTACCGGTATGCTCAATAAATACGAACTTTGCCCCAGGTCACATCATGGTGCTCCTTCGTGGTTGTGAATCCTGCGTCAACAATACTCCCACAGTCCTGGAACAATAACAAAGTGCTGTACGCCCGAAACGGAGAAGATTTAGTTGTAACTCAGAGGTAAATCAATCATGCATGATGGAAGGCCACTTCGGGAATCCTTCAGATTGAGGCAAAATCTCTGGTTGTTGCATGCTTGTCCACCTTTCCTCAGTTGCGTGACTCAGATCACCGTAATTGCCTCGATCAAAGCATATCAAGCAATCACCGTAATTGCCTCGATCAAAGCATATCAAGCGGAAAGGACAGCTACATGTATGCATACTGGTTACTGGTAGAGATGCAGGGTGTGTTGCACCACTAGTACCCTACGTACATCACGATGAAAGCCAATCCTTTGGCATCCTGACATGTGCATGGCTGACCAGCGGAAGTTAACTAATTCATAAAGGCTCAGCTGGCCGCAGCAAGCTAGCGAG